GCCGGGATCCCTCTCCTCGAACGCCGCCATGCTCATCGAGGGACTGTCCTGGAGCGGCTTGATGGCGCCTGGGTCGTAATAGACTAGATGAGGAAGCGGGATCACATAGGTCGGCTGTTGCTGCTGCTGCTGCTGCTGCTGCAGTTTATTCGCCTGCAGCTCTTTCTCCTGCGTGCTATTCTTCGCGTTCTCTTCTTCGTCGGGCTCGCTCTTACCGCCGCTGCAGGCGCCGGGCCCGAAGAGAGACAGCAACACCGGCAACAACAGCAAACCGTGCATGGCGCCGATGAAGATCACGAGAAAGACCATCTTGAAGAATACCAGGAATATGTAGGTGCCGGCCAGTAAGAGAGCCATCAAACCGAGTATCGTCGAAGCGGCGCCTTGAACAATCGGTAAGCCCAGGCTGTACAGACTGTCCTTCACTCGATCCTCCGGTCGCGATCGCTTCGAGCTCATGTACGCGTAGCAGATGTGCGCGGTGAAATCGACGCTGAAGCCGATGCACATGATCAGATTGATCATGGAGATGCTGTCGAGATTGACGTCCCATAGCGCCATGTAGCCGGCCACTCCCAGCTCGATCGACACGATGCAGAAGGCGACCCACAGGCAACAAAAGATGTTCGGGATGAAGATGAAGCTGATAAGCATCATCACGAGCGCGCCGAATATCATGCATTGGATGCTGGTCGGCCGTACCAGCTCGAATTGATCGAAGAACACAAAGTACGGATGGAACACGCTCGCGTTAAGCGGCGAGGCCGCGCATATGCCACGGAGCTCCTTCACCATGTCCTTCTCCTGATTGGTACCGCTCACGTTCACCGCCTGTATCAGGAAGCGGCTCGCCACGATCCTCTCGCCGGTGTTGTCAAACTTGACATCCAGGGAGAAGGCGCTGGTCGGGAAGAGCCAGAGCTCCTTGAGATTCTTGATGAAATTACTCTCGTCGTTGATGGTCACGTTTAGCAAGTCCTCGTTGCGCGTCACGTAGCTGAGAAAACTGCGGAGCCAGCTCTCAGTGTAAACCGGCGCGCTGATGTACTTGCTCGCCTCGAGGCTCCTCGTGAGGTTCTCCATTTGCTGCTGGATCACCGGGTCGCTGTAGTTGTATTCACCTGACACTACGACCTGGAGAAAGGACGAAAGTGCGATTAAGAGCTATCCTTTAATTTTCGGGACAAACTGAATTTTCAGCGAGAGAAAAGAAATTGAATATCTTGCACAAGAGTCATTTCTTTCTGTCATTTTTTTCTCCTTTTCCCTTTCTCAATTTGCGAAAGGCGGTAACGGTAAAGTCGCGGAGAACGTACGCACACTCAGGTACTCCTTTTCGGGAATTCCTGCGGTATTCTCGTGAAAGTGAATTTCGAGAAAGCGCACCTCGCGTCTTAGGTCCAATTGCCTTTCGGCCCTCGTAAAGTCGCAACGTCACGTTTTTGTCACGATTATGCAATTTGTCCGATCTCAGGCAGGTTGAACGCACGAACATTTCGACATGTGAATGTTTCGCGAGCGAACCCAATTATGTCGCGCGTCATTATTAAAAGTTCACCGTGACAGTAGTTTCTCAATGAATGACATTTCCGCGCAGTCATCGGAACTTGACGGCTCGTGACGTCGGGATGTTATTAATATCGCGAGGAAACGCGATAGCGCGAGACCATCTCTGAGAAACGTACTTTCACTACAATGTATCGGACTAACGCAACGGGGAAAAAGGTCCCAGTGAAATTCTTGGTCTTCGACCATATCTCTCGCTGCGATTTTACTTCATCGGCGAGGGAGAAAGAGAGAGAGAGAGAAAGATCTCAACGGCCGCGCAAGGAAGGCTGCGTTTAAGACGCATTGAAATCGCCTACGAAGCCGCATTATGAAATATTCAATTATCTAATTGAAACAACCACACAAGCTGGAGAAAATTTTTTCCCAACAAAGCATAAGATTTGAAATGCATCTTTTTCAGAAATTTATTTTTTATTATAAATGTCACGTGATTTTTTAAATATATACGTGAATTTAAATCCATAAACAACCTATAATTTATGTTAAAATTTATAATTCTTTTTATAATTTACTATGCTGTATGAAAAGACCTTTCAAGAATTAGAATATATATATATATATATATATAAAATTTTTGAAAGGTCTTTTCATACACAATAAGAATAGATTGAGAATAAATTAATTACAAGAAATTTGTAGATGATTACTTTTTATTTATACAAAAATTAAAATAGAGATTTTATTATTTATATTTAGAATGATATGATATTTGAATATGATACTTTTTTATTGAAAAGAAAATGTAAAAATATAGTTGTATTAATTAATTTATTGATTAGACATATTTGAGTTTCTCGAGTAAATCAATAAAACATTGCTAATTTGAACTTAAACTAATTTTAAATAATTTATGATTTATTACATCAGATATTTTAGAAAATAATTTAATTTTTATATGCCATATATATTTATTTAATATATAAAATATATAACATATATATTAAAATATATATAGCATATAAAAATCTAATTATTTTCTAAATATCTGATGTAATAAATTATAAATTATTTAAAATTGATTTAAACTCAAATTATCAATATTTTACTGGTTTATTCGAGAAACTCAAATGTCTAATTAATAAATTAATTAGTATGACTGTATTGTTATTTTCTTTTCAATAAAAAAGTATGTATCGTAAATATAAATTTTAATAAGTCTAAATATAAATTCTATATATAAATATAAATTCTAAATATAAATCTAAATTTAAATTCTAAATATTCTAAATATAAATATAAATATAAATAATAAAACCTCAAAGTATTTTAATTTTTGTATAAAAAGATCATCGACCAATTTCCTGTTAATTTATTAAAGAAAAATGTCGAAACGTTACGTATATTAAAAATAATATAGAGAAAGGGATTTTCGAACGTGTGAGTGATTGTATGGCGTGAAATTATTTGACGTCGAATGATTCGAGTAACACTGAGGATTTATACGAGGATCTCTCCGATTTAGTTGGTCTTTCTCATCGGTCGATTTGGAGAAGCGTGATGTAACGGACATTGCTTTTCTTGAGGTTCACGCTAGCCAGTCGGAGAAAGTTGTTTGCACGATATCGCGTCGTGTCGAGGGGAGCACGTGACATAATTGCGCGTACCGGATTATGCGTGGCAATTCCAAGCGTAACGCACTCCGTTCTTCCGAATGTGTTTCTTTTTTTTTTTTTTTTTTGTCGCCGCTTATGAGGAAACATTCCCTCCTGAGTTCGCATGCACGGAAACCGGAAACTCTCTAAATATTGACCGATGTGACTTTCGAGCTGACTTCATAAAACAAGGGAGGGGATCATTGCATTCGTAGATGAGCTATTTGACATAGTCAATAAAGCGGTATGTCAAAAAGTAGTATTGACAAACAATCAGGATGAAAATTGAAAGTTTTTATGTCTCGTTACGGTATTCAATTTTTTTCAATTTTTTCGCAGTTCTTTCCTGGCGCTCCTGTGGTTTCTCCAATATTTAAGATAATATTAATAATAATAAAATAGCAATATATAAAGTAAAAAAATAACAAAATAATAAAATAATAATATATTAAGAATTGTAGAAAAAATTAATATATAAAGTAAGAGAATTAATGTCTACCTGTATTCTGTAAGGATACTCTCTGAAGTAGTAATCCTCGCGATCGTAAAAGGCGATCGAGTAGGAGTCTTCCTTGGAAAGCTTGCGTCGATCCAGGCCTTCCTTAAGAGTCGTAAGTCCGTAGAGAGCGCCGAGAAGATAGCTTATGAAAACGAGAATGATGATCACCTTTACAGGACGATAATTTAAAGCAGCTGCCAAATAATCGCGAAACCAAGTCATGCATCCGTGCTCAGGATTGTCGATCGGATTATGAGGATCATCAGGATCAATCCCGCCGGAACACAACGCTCTGTAGAACCACGACCGATGACCTGAAATATTACGTGCACTGTCGTAATAAATGTAAAATTTAAATAATTCCATCAGATGTAAAAAAAAAAGAACACTTCATTGCATAACGTGATATTATAATTCGCGCATAAATGAGGCCAAAGTGGTCTTTTCTTTTTCGGCAGTCGCCGGCGTGACAATGTTTGGAAAAATGAGATATGGAGAAAGCAAACTCTTTCCGTTATGTAATGTCGTATGATCTAACGAATTAACGGTTTCCAAACGTAACGCATGTCTGTCCGTTGATGTAACACCGATACGTCATGCAGACGTAACGAGATTTCGAACGGTGGTATTCTGAATAACAACGATCGAGCTGCAGCGAGAGAAAACAACAACGTAATTGTATGTTTATAAGAAACGAGTTTGCCAGTAAGAAATTGCGCCAGTAAGAAATTTGTACGAGTAATTAATCAACTAGAATTTCGTAAATTGTCGAGAATTTCTACATCGTGCATAAACCAACTTTAGAGACATTTAAATACAACGGTGTGAAATACAGGGAGAAAAATACAGTATTTTTACAAATAAAATAATTGTAACACTTACTGGATTTAGATAAAGGCTCCACTTTACAGCAGACAACGCTGTGTAGATTTCTTTGCTCGCAATAACCGCTGATCGCGACGCATCCGCTGAAGAACGTTATGTGGAACAGGAAGGTGAAGACTACCGCAAAACCTGTTATTTAAAGCACAGTTTAATTAAAAATATGAATCACGTTATAATTCCAGTACTTATATCAAAAAGTTATAGCAGACACTCGAAACTTATATTTATACATTCGTATCTTTCCTTAACCTATGATGCCGTAATATCACATTAACTTTTAAATATTCTGTTTGTTATATTAATCGCATAATAATATAATCTGATGTAACTAGAAATCTTGATACCTGAGTAAATGCAAAAAATTTGGACCGAAGGGAATGGCGATAGAATGCCGATGAAGAAAGATATCATGTCCGTCAAAGATGTGATGGTGATGGAAACGGCGGCCTCGCTTAACGTCGCTGCCATCCTTTCCGGCACTGGTTTGGAAATACTTGTTCTTCTCCATGCCGCTAACATGACAAAGGTATCGTCGATTCCTATTCCTGTAATCAAAAGCACAATTTGACATTCGACAATTATAACTTCCTACATCATACCCAGATGAATTAATGTGATAGATATTAATGATACTAATGTCATAATATTACAAGAGTAATTACAAGAGTAATTAATTGATTGAAGATTTATCATTATTTTATTATATTTATGAAAACAAATGCGTTTACATTAAAAAAATAATGCTAATACAATTTATCCTGCAATTATTTATACTTTTTGTTATTTTGTTGTAACAATAGTATATCTGTATAAAAAATTACTTTCCAATTATATTATTTTTATGATATCATTATGTAAAGCATTTTTTTGTTAAATTAAAGATTGCTAGTTTTACCTATATTTTTATTTCGTTTTCTTAATTTGTACCTATGACTGCTGATGAGCACATAAAAAAGTAAAAAAAAAACAACCTTTTTATGATTAATGATGATTTATGAATCACTATATGATTTAATATAAGGCAAAGTTAAAATATAACTTCTGTACCTCACAATTTATCTGCGTAGTTATGTAAAGAAAAGATATGTTCTAAATTTATTAACATATACTTTGAAAAATAATTACTTTTTTCTTTAATTTCCTTTTTTCCATTTTTTTTCCAATTGCATAAATTTTTGTATTACTTTATCTACGAATCCTTTAAATCTTGTATTGTTATTTTTCGAGAAAAATAATGTTGTTTGATTGATGCGTCTTCTAAATATC